TGCCCCTGTGCGGGCGTGGGTATTTTTCATAATTAATCCAACGACTGCCGGTGGCATTTCCGAGCGCTTTGCGGTGCTTGGGTGGTTCGGTGGCTCGGTGGGTCGTTGGGTCGGAAAAACGTTTCTGCCATTTCAAGACAATTTGCGAAATTGCAGGCCGTTGTGTTTGATGCTTGTTGCTCCGTTGTTGTTGCCGTCGTTTTCCTCTTTTTTCCACGTGCTTTTCCGCGTGTTTTGCTCGCGCCGCGTCCGTCCGGACAGCCCTTGTGGACGCTAAACAAAATGGAGGCCAAAACTGCAATTGCTTTGCAGCTGCTGCAGAGCCGAGCAGAGCAGAGGATACGGAAAATCTCTGTATAGAAAGTGTAGAGCACTTTGACTGCGCCTTGGGCGGACAGACTGACTGCCGGCTGCTGCTGCTGCTCCTCCTCCTCCTCCTGCGGCTGCTGCTGCTCTGCCTAATCCGCTTTGGTATGTTTTGGGCCGCCTCGATGTCAAATTTGCTAGCAGCTCTTGGGCCGTTTTCAGTTACAGTTTTCAGTTCGGTTGGGTTTTTTTTCCGCGTTGTCCGCCCCAAAGGCCATAAAAAGTTTTTGACGCGCGGCATGTTCAGGCAGCAAGTTTGCCATTGTACGAAACTTTAATCCCGCTTAAATTATAAATGGCACATTTGGCTTCTATCTCTACGACGACCTCACACACACACACACACACACAGACACACACACATACACATACAGCCGCTTTAGACTGTCTATGTCTGTCGCTGAGGCCAAGAGAACGAGCCTGTCAGACTCTGGCAACGCTCGAGTGCTTGACAACTTTATGTGTGTTGTCGCAAGCTTGCCACAGCGGCAAACACACCACACACAACACACAAAACACAAAACACTTTGTTGCCTTTATTTTGAGTGCTGTGCGAACTGTGCCGCAAAGAAATGCATTGCACTAAACGAAACTTTACGAGTTTGGGGGCCTCTACTTAGGAGCGAGCGCTGCATTCCGCTCTGACTTTACGTGGCCATCACGCCCACAGATATATCATACATACCTTTATCTATATATATCTATATACCTGTGTGCTTGTTGCCTTTCTCCAATGCAGCAATGTCCTGTGTGCAGTGCAGGAAATCAATTAAAACTTTGCTCCTGTCAGTGGCAATTCAGTTGCCTTGGTGAGTCGGTGGCTCGGTGGCTCGGTGGCTCGGTGGTGGCTTCGTGCTACGGCAACACAGCAACCTGGTCATGTTATATCATGTTCCCTGCGCCGCTCCAGACTTTTCAACGAATGTCAATGCTCCGTCGTCCGACATGTTTGACACGATGCAACGGTGACAGTTAAAGGTAATTAAACAGTTGGTAAAGCACAATTAATGGTAAAGCACAATCATTCCACTCCTCACATCTCGTATAGCGCTGATAGAGATTTTACTGTTATTCACATTCTCTTAAATAATATATCACACTTGTATTCGTATTTAGAATGTATTTCAATTAATTTATTTTGAATTTATTTCTATTTGCATTGCTTTCAATTAAACTTGGGATAGAGAGAGACAGAAAAAGACAGAAAAATGAAGCCGTGGAAAATATACTTTATTTTCAATTTGATAGAGAGAGAGAAAAGATGAAGGCAACTCATATAAAATTTTCCCCTTCAATCAAATATTTACAAAATCGAATTTTAAATAATATTCTATTCTAAATAAGTTTAGTTAATATTAAAATT